CCCTCGTCAGTCCCAACCGAAGGAGGTAGTAACAGTTTCGGTGGCTAAGGCGGTACTGCCACCTCTGGCGCCTCCAGCAGCTTTTGCCAGGGTATTGTTTTTGGTAACGTTGTGTTAAAATGTATATGCAGGCGGTTTTCTCCAGGTAGAAAGTCTGTGTTATTCTAATATTTTTCTGTAATATATCCAGCTGACCTATAAGTTCTAACAGTTATTTGCGACGCACTTTATCAAACGATTTTGCTTAATCTATAAAACGTATGTATACGTGTTTTTGCTTTCCTTGTTTACGTATGTTTAATGAAACCCCAATCGTTCTATTTCCGGTCTAATTCTGCTGGGGGCTCTATTCATAAGAATTCGAATGTTAATTTTGTTATATAGCTCATTTGTCCAAATGTCCAATGGAGTTGACATTCAGCTTTCGAGCTTATGTCTGTAATTTTGTCAATGTCGGAACCATCTGAATACAATGCCAGACAATTCCATCTGATATTGCTGCTTCGTTTCGGTTTAATCAGATTTTAATATTTCAGGCCCTTTGATATTTCTGTGTATTACGTGTTCTCCTCTTTTGTCGCGGAAGAATTCTCCGATATAATCATTCTATATCCGAATTAATTTTGCTTTCTCTAATATCAGTGTTCTTTTTCTTTAAGAGTTTCAACGCAAGCAAGGCGGGAAGCCACTATCACAAGCAAAGGATTACAGTGAGTTGGAGCGAAAGTAAAGAGGAGTGATAGGGGAAAGGATGAGGAGAAGGATAGGGGATAGATCATGGCATCTGGAGACGTCGATTTACATTACATTTGAATAGTTGGAGATTATAGCTATCAGGGAAACAGGAATAGGGAGGGAATTCCACAGGCGAGAAGTGCGAGACATGAAGCTACTGGAGTAGAAGAGACGGCTACATTTAACAGTTTCGACAGTGAAAGGGTGAGGAGCGAGATGACAGCCTAGTTGAACGTTTAAACACATGAAGTCTGGGAACCAGGGAATCGGAGCAGTTACCATGAGGTATATTTGTAAAAAAATACAGAGGGAGGCGATGATAAACGTCTATAAGAATTTTTTGCAGACGAGATGCCAGATCAGGGCTAATTACATTGCATATCCGTCTCTGGATTTTATCAAGAAGCATAGAGACAAATCTTACGTGATTATTCTTGTATTTCTATCAACAGGTGATAATCTAAATATCTAGGAAGTGTTTTAACAGGGGACAGAACGCGCAACACTGAAATCTGAAGGTGCACTGGGATAGTGATAGATGCCTTCCAAAAGCTCAGCAAAGCATTATGAAACGGGAAAATTTCGTTACAAATAGAGAAAAGTGTACTGAATTATTATGTACTATTAGTCATCCTATATAGTAGTGAATGCCGGACAATCTTCTTACAGATTAAGAAGAGACTTAAAGCAACAGAAATGCTACGGAAGGATACTGAGAATAGTATGGACGGAACACGTGATTAACGTCAAAGTTTTAGTGAAAATGGAAACAAAAAAAGACATTTATAGTTAACATCAGGAATAGACAGTTGAGATATCTGGAACACACGATTAGGAAAGAGGGCTTGAAAAATATGATACTCGCAGGACAGATTGAAGGTAATAGGGACAGAGAAAACAGCGCATAACGTTAATCTTAGAGAGCTTCAGTAAATTTTTTGGTAGAGCAGGATTTAACAGAGGTTCGCCGACGATCAGGCAATGATGAACAACGACAGGATCCAGCTGCAGGAACACAGTGACCAACTCGACTCCTGATGAGCGAAATACGACAGGAAGATCAGTGTCAGCATGACTGAGATCATGACCGTCAGCAAAGGAACAGAAAAACTGGACATTAACATCAATGGGACCCAGCTAAAGCAAACCAGTGAATTCAAATATCTGGGCAGCACATTTACTGAAAACGGTAAACTAGACAGAGAAATCGAGACCAGATGTCAGAAAGCCAACACAGTCAGTTACCAACTTGCTCCTCTTCTAAAACATCCTAGCATTTCCATGAGCACCAAGGTAAATCTCATCAACGCCATTTTCCTACCAATGTTGACATATCAGTCCCAGACATTGCCCCTAAAAAAAACCCTAGAGAGAAAACTGATCACTTGTGAGATGAAATGCCTGAGGAAAGCAGTGAACAAGACCCGGCGAGACAAGATCAGGAATGAGGCAATAAGAGATATGGTAGGATCAATACCAATCATACAACACATCGAACGACAGATCAAGTGGTTCGGACACCTGATTCGGACGCCTATCAAATAACCGGCCCTACGAGCATACACCCTCAGGTACTCTGGCTGGAGAGCGAGAGGCAAACTAAGAAGACACCGGAGTGACTCAGTGGCAGACACTTTCAGAGCCCAAGAGAGATCTCTCCTCCAGGCCACTCGCCTTGCCGCTGACAGACGACTGTCTCCACGCGACACCTAACAGCACAAGCGGAAGGAAAAACTAAACTAAACAAAAGGACAAAAAATATTAAGAGCCGCGGAGTACCGGTAATTGAGGGAAGCTATTATTCACAAAGTCCTGAAGGGGCACGGCACATAGAAGAAGAAGAAGAAGAAGAAGAAGAAGAAGAACCAATCTGAAAATTTTGAAAGCAGTATATGTGTGTACGCGCATGCGTGGATAAATTATGTGTGTATTCACCGTCATGTGACACTTGTCATTTTGAATAACAGTTAAAAAGGCAAGATTTCCAAATACTGATTTTGAAGTCATCTATGTCCCCAGCAGTGGCAGATTTACTATGTGAGTATAAAACTTAAGTTTCAGGGCCTCTAATCCCAGGGGAGCAACTTTTTTTTAATGATTTTTATTCAACAAAATCGATGTTTTTTGGGGGTTTTTTTAAGTGTTTCTTCTTAAGACGCCCATTTTAACTTAGTTTGGTTGATTTTTTTTTAGCTGCATATCAAACACTGGTTTATTTAATGTCGAAATCTAAATATTTTGAACAATTTTATGGTTTCACCTAAATATATTTTGAACACAACTGTATGCCTTCAACTAGAGATAAAATGCATTTTTACTATAAATATCTATTATTGGTAATTTTTTATATAAAAATGAATTGCTAGTATTTTAACTATAAAAATGTATTTTTATACTTTCATAGTGTTTTGTTTTTGTTTGGGGAGGGGTTTACTATTTGCCCATAGCCGGGACCCTAACAGTTGCTTCCACTCCGGGTCAGTGTGGACCTGGGAACAACAACAATTAAGAGGGGGTTCAACACTTCTGAAAACCTCCAATCTTTCGATAAGAGGCCTTGCTGCCGGATGTAGTTTATCGTCATACCTAGGACTAACCATTTTAGTGATAGAACCATAAGCCAATGGGCTGAAGTTGCTAATGTCCGCCTTAGAATATGCTCTAATACCCAATTCATATGGCCTCAAAATTCCTCTGCAATTGTTTAGATTTCAAAATCTTCTTGGGGGTGAATCATGCAGTGCACGGACCCAAAGTTGTATAGGATCGTTGAGGTCGCCACAATCGGCTATAATCTGGCTATAATTTGGCATTTGAATCCGCGAAACTATTGTTGTTTGTCGCGAATACCCTCCCCTCCCAACATCATATCTGTTCAAGCTTCAGTGCCCTATAAATATAGGCCAGCCACTGGTCCTTCTCATTGGTCGCTAAAACTAAGACGATCTTCTAGACCTTATTCATCCACATCCCAGCTTTTTTTCAAGGCTTAATAAAAAATGGCAATCTCCTCGGAAATGTGTGGCTTATCTATCATCCTTTGAAATCCAGTTTTCTCTTGTCATATACACTAACCACAAAGGGTGGAATTCAGAGCAGAGATGTTTGGCCCGCTTGATATATATGGCAGAGTGATATGCGTTCTTAAAAAGCTTATAAGTATGGAGAGATCTTAATCTTGGCCGGCAGAGACTAATTAGTCAGCGATTTTAATCCTATGATGAAATATGTACATGGTCAGAATAAGAATACCCCCCTCATTCAGCCCCACCCCAGCTTTTAGGCCTGGTATCAGAACACGGAAAGTTCACTGGCTGTCTCGTGTATAAAAAGCTTCTTTTGAAAAACAGTATTCGTAAAGTACTTTTTTTTAAATTTCTGTTGTATCCTTAAAGGGGTTACAAACAGACAAAGGTGGTACTCGAGTGAAGGAACAGTAACACGCGCGTAGATGAAAGAAGAGAGGTTTATAGTAAAAGAGAATAGAATACTGAAAGACAGGAAATCGGGTGGTAGGCTAGTACTTCCCGAAGCAAAGATATCTACCAACCTAACCACGCGGCCAGATGTGGCACAAGGCCGAATTTAATGGCTCGGCCAAAAATTATTCCCTGTATAAAACAGGGTTGGGTAGCTGTTTCCCCGAGACGATACTCTTCCCTTCGACATAGACTCGTCTGAGGATCCTCTCTGCCCGGAGGCAGAGAGTTTGAGCAGCATAGCTGGAGACGAATTTCCAACTCTAGACTAATTCCCGAAGCATGCCCCCAAATATATCCTATGCTCACTACATATAGCTACTGAGGCTGTTGGGAGTGTGGGACATTCCCTTACAACACCTCCCCCGGGCTAATTTTCTGATGAACTTTTTGGTTAATACCGCTTGTTTTGCGGTCAAGACATAATTTTTTAACTTTTTTCCTCTTCCTAATACTTTTCTGTCTCACCAATTTCCATGTCCAGAAAACCAGATCTAAATTCCTTGACGGACAAACGAAAGACATACTTCGATCGTTCTTTACAATACGATATTTCCATAGATGCATACTTATATCAACCGTTGATGATTTGCCAAGTTGAGACATGTAAAAATGGCAATCTCCTCGGAAATGAGTGGCTTATCTATCATCCTTTGAAATCCAGTTTTCTCTTGTCATATACACTGACCACAAAGGGCGGAAGTCAGAGCAGAGAGGTTTGGCCCGCTCGATAAGTATGGCAGAGTGATATGCGTTCTTTAAAAAGCTTATAAGTATGGAGAGGTATTAATCTTGACCGACAGAGGCTAAGTAGTCAGCGATTTCAACCCTATGATGAAATATGTATATGGTCAGAATAAGATTTGATTCGTAGGAAAGAATTAAAATAGATAGATAGATAGATAGATAGATAGATAGATAATTATGAACATACACAGATAAATAGAGTGATATGAGCAGACTAAGAGAAATCAACAGATAGACAGTGAAAAAAAGAAAATGAAAGAAAGAAAAAAAACTGGCTAAGAGAGCTAGAGCCAGACTGAAATTTTTACAGATAGATAGATAGATAGATAGATAGATAGATAGATAGATAGATAGATAGATAGATCTGAACAGGCTGAGATAAATAGAGTGATATGAGAAGACTAAGACAAATCAACAGACAGAAAAAGAAAGAAAAAGAAATTACTGGCTAAGAGAGATAGAACCAGACTGAAATGTATAGATAGATATGAACAGACTGAGATAGATAGATAGATAGATAGATAGATAGATAGATAGATAGATAGATATGAACAGGCTGAGAAGATAGATATGAACAGACTGAGATAGATAGATAGATAGATAGATAGATAGATAGATAATGAACAGACTGAGATAGATAGATAGATAGATAGATAGATAGATAGATAGATATGAACAGACCAAGATAGATATAGATAGATAGACAGATAGATAGATATGAACAGGCTGAGATAGATAGATATGAACAGACTGAGATAGATAGATAGATAGATAGATAGATAGATAGATAGATAGATAGATAGATAGATAGATAGATAGATTTCGGATTAGACCTGGGGAGATGTAAATATTACATAGAGTGTGAGATATATGAACAAACTTGGATAGACAGAAAGAAAAAGAGATTGATATGATCAGAGATAGATAAACAAATAGATAGACAGTGTGAAAGAAAGATAGATGTATAAATTGATATATAGGTTTGATAAGATAGATAGATAGATAGGAGATGTCAATAAAGTAAATACGATAGATAGATCTCAAATACATAACATAGAACACACACACACACAGATACACACACACATATATATATATATATATATATATATATATATATATATATATATATATATATATATATATATATATATATATATAGAGAGAGAGAGAGAGATAGAGGGAAGGGAATTCTGAAACACACACATAATATATATATATATATATATATATATATATATATATATATTCCCAAACATAGATAGATAGAAATAGATAGATAGATAGATAGATAGATAGATAGATAGATAGATGGACCAAATTGAGAATATAGATATGACCTGAAAAAGTGACACAGACAAATCAAGATATTGTCAGTGAAAGAAAGAACAGACTGAAATAGAGCCAGACTGAAATTTTCAGATAGATAGATAGATAGATAGATAGATAATGAAGAGACTGAGATAGATAGATAGATAGATAGATAGATAGATAGATAGATAGATAGATAGATAGATAGATTCGGATACATAGATAAATGTTACCAGTTATAAGTATAAATGGACAAAATATATAATATAGATTGAGATAAATTTAAAATCGATTGGTAGATGAAGAAAATATATAAATCGCAGATGTTCTTTATGAAAAGAGTTCTTTTTATAGTAAGCATCAAAACTTTTACAGAACAAGTAGTTAACATATCTTTACTAAGACGTCAACTCTCACGTAAAACTCTTCCTGTCTTTTTTTAAATGGCACAATTCACCTCCGACCCAAAACAAATTATTCGTTACGCCCAACACCCTGTCTTCGCAAGGTTTGGTGCGAACCCCACCAGATCACAAGCAGGTTGACGCCTCGTCCGGGCCGAATCTATTAAAGATGTCTACTTTATCTTCTGAAACTTGGCAGCCGTTTCTGAAGCGTTGAATAAATCGGTTCTGTCTTGGGAAACACCATCTGTTGGTTTCACATCTCAGACCTCTATATCCGCGATAATATACATCAGTTTTATGGTATTCGACGCGAAGTTCATTTCATAAATTTGTCCAGTAGAAAAAAATAAGTCTAAATTTAAAAAAAGGAACGCCAAATTATTATTATTATTTGTATTTTCTTTGATTTCTGGCGTTTAATCCATTTTCCGGGTCCCGCCCAGGGACCTAAGGTTTGAAATGGTATCATGACAATTTCCATTGACAAAAAAAAAATTCATAGATAAAGCCCTTCGTAAAGTGTGAGGTGTACTTTGTCAGAACATCTTTTTTTGTATCTCCTTGAGGCATGGACTTTCAGGAACCTTCAATTAGTCTAATGCAATCTTTTCCAACCAGTCCTAGGGCTCCAACTACAACAGGGATTGTTGATGTTCCCATATGCCACATTTTCGAGATTTCTATTTCAAGGTCCTTATTATTATTATTATTATTATTATTATTATTCATGTCTGACCGTTTACTCCTTGTGCATTTTCTGCCACAACCCATTTAGGTAGGTTACCTGCTGTTTCAGTATAAAATGAAATTCTGCATTAAATATCACCTGTCATCTTTTATATGCCGTGTCCCTTCAGGATCGAAACGATCATGGTTCTCCACGCCCTCCTACCCGTTTTAGTTCTAATTAATATTTATCCCCTTACTATTCCGATCATTTGCAGTTCTGTAGTAATGTTGCCGATATTTAATATTAAATAATAGTGAATCTTGAAAAAATTAATTAAATAAAATTAGCTACCTCCACAGATTCGCAATTCCAAAGATTTAAAATTAATTTTTAAATATTAAATTAAAGAAAAATAAAAAAAATCTTTCTTGAAGTTTTTTATTTTAGTTTTAATTTCAAGCTAATTGATTAAATTTAATATTCCCAATAAAAAAATATTTTGCTGTATTTCAAAACTAATTTAAATTGACTGGAAGGGATTTTCAGTTTTTTTTTAGGAGCAACGAAATTGCTGATTTTTTTATTGTTTGTTTCAATCTTAGCGTCAGTTTTAGCGATCTTTGTCATCAGAATGTAATTCTCTTTATTAAAAATCTTCCAAAAATAAAATATACTTTTCTGAAAATTTATTTGAAAAATATTACCTGATTTAAAGTATAACACTGGTCAACACCAAACTTACTGTCTAAATATTTGTAGCCGATTGAGGACAATTTTGATTTGCTGAATCCAAAAATCACATTGATTTTGCTCGCTCAAAAAGTTGCTAGATGCAACCGCGTTTCTTCTCACGATTATGAAACTCCGTCCCGGTTTGCAGCTTTCCTGTCAACTACGATTTTCAAAACTTAAATGCAATGTCAGTCGCCATCTTCTGTATTCATTTATTGATCCGACAGATTTTATTACTTAGACGTTATGCTTTAGTGGTTACGCGTATTTAAGTAGACGCTCCGTTTATCTATTAAACATACTATTTATTATCCTCAAGAGGTTAAATATTCGGACAAAGCATATTTTTTTGTCTAATATTCAGGCCGGTAGACGAAAATAAATAAGTATACTGTTTAATACATAACCGAGGCGTCTATTCAAATACGAGTATCCACTAAAAATAGCATCTAATAATAATAGTAATAAAATATATATAATAATAATATTATAAATACGAACAATTATCCGGCGGGACAGATGATTGTTGTTACATGAAGTTCTAGCATGCGGATGTTGGTATTATTATTATTATTATTATTATCATTATTATTATTATTATCTTATATTAAGGTTCTGTCGAAAAACAAAATTCAACACTCAGTAAATTTTAAATTTTACCTTTATTTTTCTTTAGAAATTTATTCTTAATATATATATATATATATATATTAATGCAAATTTCATTAAATAATGTAGACAGAAGTTTTGTCTATTTATTTTTAAAATTAAATTCCTTTCATATTGTCGAATGTAAGACATTATCACTGAAACACGAAAGAAAATCACTATGTTGATACATGTTTTTTATTTGTTAATAAATATGTCTAAAACTTTTTTTTATAAGCCATCATCAGAATTACAAAATACATTATAATTAAATTAAATAATATTATATATATATATATATATATATATATATATATATATATATATTTATATATATATATATATAAATTTATATTCAAAGGCGGAATGTATCTGTAGAATCGACAAAATTCAAAAATCCGATAAGTGGAAAAACTATATTTTAAGCGTTTCGTCATAATGTAAAATTTACTTTATCAATGCAAAATAGGAGTTATTATTTATATAAACATTTTAGCATGATAAATCCTACTACATTGCCATGATAAAGTCTTATAGAAGACGAAACACGTCGGAAAAACTATATTCAATTATTTATCTTGTCTCTTAAAATTTATTCATATATATATATATATATATATATATATATATATATATATATAGACCTGTAAAAATTCGAAAAATTCGATATTTAATTAAAATCGCATTAAGGCAAGACCTAAAGATCGTATTATCTAATAAATCTAAACAAAAGCAGCATGGAATTGTTTTAGGGTCAAAGATGACTTGCGACTTCATGCTAACATATAATATCGACAGTCCCCCAATATTTCGGTCTGAAAATTTTCACAATCACGTCCCCCTCAAGACCGATAACATTGTTCCAATCCTTATTAAAATGACCATTGTGAGATTTTATAAAGCGAACGTTCTAACCATTAATGTTGCACGCGCCCATTTTGCATATACATAACATAAAAAAACAATATTGGGAAAAAAATGTATGACAAAGTTTTAAAAAGTTTTCTCCATCGGACTAAATTTGTTATGTTGGTGAAACTACACATGCACACGAACGAGAGATGCTGGGAAATTTAAATATATAGGAGAAACCTCAAGGAATCTAAAGAAAAGATGACATGAACACAAAAGGGACAGAAAAAACAAGACAATAAGTTGAAATTAATATTACAGCTCATCAGTGTGGCTAGATGTACGATTGTTTCAAGCCGGGATCAAAACCCGACCGATTTGACATCAGTCGGAGACTCTCACCCTTAGACATTCAGCTCACGCAGCGGAGAAAGGGTATTTTTAACACCTTATATACGAGATATAAGCATTACTGTTACCATTTTCTCAGTGGAAAGCGAAGAGCTATTTTAGCATTAATAGCAGCAGCGGAATCAATTTTTTCTTGAAAAAATGTTCTAAACTTACGAGATTAACGTTGATTTATATATATATATATATATATATATATATATATATATATATAGATAAGATATAGATATAGAGGAATGCAATTTTATATATATATTATTTATATATTATAAATTAAAAATAAATTTAATGGAAAGAAAAAATATCAGTGATAAAGATAACATAAAAATTTTGTATTGATGTGAGTTCGTGACATGAAAAAAATATTTGCGATCGTCATTTTTTGACCATCGCAAATAAATGACTAAAAAACCATACAATATACACCAATCCATATATATATATATATATATATATATATATATATATATATATATACAGGGTGTCCATAAAGTTCGTGTGCACTTTAAAAATTTATAACTTTATTTGTATTTGCGATAGAAATAATTTGTAAAAAGGATTAGAAAGAAGTAAATCTATATTTTTTAAGGTTTTATTGAAATTTTATTTAAGTTTCCACATGTCCTCCATCATTAGCAATACAAAGGGTAATACGATTTTGCAGTTCACGGAAAACATTTGCCAACTGATTTACAGTAATGCCTGAAATCACATTAGTTATTTTAGCTATACTTAAAACTAGGTACATTAAACTTTATAACATTTTTTACAGATTATTTCTATCGCAAATACAAATAAAGTTATAAATTTTTTTAAAGTGTACACGAACTTTATGAACACCCTGTGTGTGTGTGTGTGTGTGTGTGTGTGTGTGTGTGTGTGTGTGTGTGTGTGTGATATTCATATATGCAATTTGATTTTAGCCCTATGCCAGAACCGATAATGTTTTTCGGATTTCGTCTAGAATCTCGAAATTTATAACAGGAATGTTTGACCAGTCGTGGCAGTAATATTCAATATACAGATGAATGGTAGATTTATGAATGTACAAGATGGATTCTTAGTGACTTTTTATCGCCGAGCTTTGAATGAAATGATTAAAAAAAATAAACGAACACAACTCTTTTCTAAAATCATCTTTCGTTTCTGACAAACGTCTGGACCAGAACAACATCGGCTAATTAATGCAAATTTGCAGAAATATATTAACAAAAATTCCTCTATTTATTTTTTTTACGAACGGATCACTTAACCCGAACAATGGCAATACATTTTTTGTATTGAAATTGCCCATGTGTTTATGTATATGTTACGCTTACATGTGTGTAGACAATCAGAAAAAGAGAATTCTCTGTATGAAACAAATAAGGGCTATTTGATGTGTGATGACATCCAATAATAGGGATCGTTGAGCAGGGTTTTTACGTCCGAATTACGCATAGAATAGAGACTCCTTCGCACGCGATTTCCTGTTAAATGGCATGAAGGATAATTCTATAC